TGAGGTTTTTAGGCATGGGGAGATTTTTTGTTGCTTTTGTAAGCACAGAATGAAAGAAGGATAGAAAGAGATTATAATAGAGAGAGAGAGAATGTGGGGTAAATTGCTTGGAAAAGTGTCCCTCCACTTTGATGTCTGCTTGGGAGTGGTGTTGGGGACAAGCCCTGGAAACAATGGCAAAGCTGTTTGGCAGGGAACAGGAGCCCCACACTCCAGACTCTCAGGAACTCCAAGGAGGCTAAGAGAGTCTGAAAGAGGAGAGAAGAAACCGCTTGCTCAAAGGTCTGATTGTCCAGTGAAGAACAGGGATTTGGAGCCAGTCAATAACAACCACAGAACTCCACAGAGAAAATACGGAAGTATAGAGAATCTCCAGGTGTCATTCAGGAAAAGCATTGAGAGCAGCCTGAGTTTCTTGCATCTGTGAGTAGGAGGAAATATGTTAATTGGAAGAAATAAGTGGGCTCCTGTCTGCTTATCACTGGTAAAATCACCTTTTCAAATGCCTGTTGTCAGAACCTGGCAATAATTCATTCCATCCTAAGCACAGGGAAGACCAAATGGAGAAAAAGCAAACAGTGAAAAGTTTTTATTTTTTATGGCTATATGAATTTAAAAAAAAATTTATTAAAAATATGTTTAATTTCTGGGCATGGTGGCAAATGCCTATAATTCCAGCGACTTAGGAGGCTGAGGAAGGAGGATTTCAAGTTCAAAGCCAGCCTCAGCAACTCAGTGAGACCCTGTCTCTAAATAAAATACAAAATAGGGCTGGAGATGTGGTTCAGTGGTCAAGTGCCCATGAGAACTGAGGGGTCACCTCCAGGCTGGCTTAGGGTCACACCCCACCAAAAAAAAAAAATATATATATATATATTTAATTGGACTTAGTGAGATCCTATCTCAAAAGACAATAAAAAGGGATAGGGTTGTAGCTCAGTGGTAGAACAGTTGCCTAGCTAGCTAGCATGCATTCGGCCCTGGGTTCAATCCCTAGTAGTGGCACAGAAAAAAAAAAAATTAAATTGGGGGTTGGGGATCTAGATTAGTAGTAGTGTGTGTGTATGCTTAGCATTCATAAGGCCCTGGGCTTGATTACCAGCCCTGCGAAAAGGAAAGAAAAAAATTTTTTAAATTGTTAAATGCAAAACAAATACAAACCACAACATAAAACAAATGTACAGCATAACAATGTATAAGACAGGACTGGGGAGATAGCTCAGTCAGTGGTAGAGTGCTCACTGAGCATGCACGAATTCCTGATTTTAATCCCCCGCACCAGAAGAAAAAAGAAGTTAAAAAATAAAATATAAGACAAATGCTCTAGTAACCTTGCATGCACCGTGAAGGGAGAACCATGCCAACAACTCCAGCAAGACCTTTTTAAACCACAGTAACTGTTGCAGACTCCAAGGATAGACTGGGTGGGTCACTTACAGGATGTTCTGAGGCCTCTAAGGAAGGAAAGGGCCCTTTAGCCATCAATCAGGCAATATTTATGGAGTGCATATGATAGTGTCCCATCAAAGTATAGGACCCCATCTAGCCTGCATTGAGTACCTACTGTATGCTAAATGTTTTATCTATACTATTTATAAATTCAATGAATTAACATCAACCCTCACTACAACTCTGAGCTTAGTGTAATTATTTCCACTTCACAGATGAGGAAATGAATGCAGAGACAAGTTAAGTAACTCACCCAGGGCCACATGGGAAGTAAGAGGCAGAATTGACACTTGAACCCAGGCAACCCAGCCTGGCTCCAGAGCCCCAGTCTTTCTCACCATTATAAGCAGTAAATTGGCTAGAATGCTTGATCCTTCTGTTGGCTCTTCTAGATCCATTCTCCATTTTTACCCTAATCTAGACCACAAACTATATCAACAGACTGTGTTACTCTGACTTCTGTTTGGAGTTTAGGCTATAGAAATCCTAGGTAAAAGATCAGAAGGAGGCATATAAGGGAGAACTGAGGGGTCACCTTCAGGCTGGTTTAGGCCACACCTCTGTCAGGTGGCCCAAACCTTGCATGGCACACCCTGCAAATTCTGGTGACTGGACTGCCCCTCACCCCTAAGGCCTGGGGTGGTCAAGTAGTTGTTAGTTATTGCACTGTCCCTGTGGTTTTCCCACATCCTGCCCACACCTTTGTAAATGGCCCCTTTATTCAACTCTCCTCAAATTACCCAATTTGAGTGTGCCATCTGTTTCCTGCTCAGGTCCGGCTTGATATAAATAGGAAGTCAGGAAAGCAGGAGCTCAGAGAGCTGGCTGCATGTGTGGGCAGCATTCCTCGTGGGTGCAGGACTAGTCACAGGTGAATCCAGATGACCTCTCACTTGAAGGGCTTCGGGACTTTTGTGAGGAGGGGTTCTGGTACTGCAGAATAAGGTTGCTCCTCAAACCCAGGGTATTCTGAATTAAGACAGGCTACGAGTGCTTCTATGGGCTTTAAAGGCTCTGAGGCCTTCTCTGAGAAAAGCTAAAGGGAGGAAGCAGCATACGGAGGAGGCTAAATGATGGGCTTCAGGGCCACAGAGCCCAGATTCAAATCCTACTCCTCATTTACCACGTATATATGACCTGTTCTAGGCCAGTTAACATTTTCATGATTCAATTTTCCCATCTATAAGATGGGTTGATGTCGATCAATGCAATGCCTAGCCCACATTCAGTGCTATATTGAGGGAGCCCAGACCTTTTTTTTTTCTCTTTCCCATTTTTGCAATTAGAGGAACACATGAATCTTGGGGAATCTGGGAGCCCTTGGGAAATCATGAAACATACCCTGGAGTAGATTGCCACAGCGTGGATCTGGGATCAGCAGCAAAAGTTAAGGGAGAATCAGAACATGGAATCCTTCCAATACTTCTTGGCCCATCCTGGATTAGGCAGCCACTTGGGGGCACATAGAACAGATGTCTGTCACAAGAGCAAAGAAAATTGTTTAAAGATCTTACATAGAGGGCTGGGGATGAAACTCAGAGGTGTTCAAGGTCCTGGGTTCCATTCCCAGTACTGCAAAATTTTTTAAAAAGAGAAGCTCAAAATGGAAGAGTGAAATATTCCTCACCTCTCCCCTTACCAAAGGTTTCCTTTTTGCAAATTTTACTTCTCTCTCTGGCCTTGTTGATTTCTCCCTGTCTGTGGGAATATTCTTTTCAGCATCTAAAGATACTCTAACATCTCTTTTCTTAAACTCTCCTTTGATTGTTCATCCACTTCCATCTCTTTGATCCCCATAATAGCTAAATTTCTTTTCTTTCTTTCTTGTGTGTGTGTGTGTGTGTGTGTGTGTGTGTGTGTGTGTGAGAGAGAGAGAGAGAGAGAGAGAGAGAGAGACTGGGGGTGGAACCCAGGAACTCTCTACCACTGAGCTACATCCCCAGCCCCACCACCCACCTTTTTTTTTGGAAACAGGGTCTCACTAAATTGCTTAGGCTGGCCTTGTTACTGAAAATTCAGTCCTAGTTCCCAACACAATTCAATAACGATGACAGTATAAGGTCCTTGCTTAGCATCTGGATGGCCATATTAAGTGACAGCTGCCATTTTAAGGAAAAGTTTCACTTTCCTGCCCAAGGGCATTTCAGAGCAAGGCTCACCACTCCCTCATACCAACCCAACCCCTAACCACCTACATTAGGACCTGCCCGGCTGATTCCTGAGCCTGCCCCATAAAAGTTCCAGAACTCAAGCCTGTTTTGCCGCTCTCTCCTATAGAGAGATGGCCTTTATTTGTCAGTTATATATCTCTGCTGGTCTCCATCTTTCATTTCTTGCCTACCCGTCTCTTGTTCTTCACTTTCCCTTCAGACAGTGGTTTGAAAAAAGGAAAAAAGAAGGTTTATTGCTTTGCTGGCCAAAAAGAAATAATAGGGGACTCCTGTTCCACAGGCTGTGATTCTGCCCATCAAGGGGAGCAGGGAGCTTTTAAAGGGGTGATTCAAAGGCTCTATTCACTTGTTAATTTAGGAGACAGTCATTTCTGAGATCTGCTGGTGCCATCCCCAAAGTCTGAATTACTTTGTTCCTGTGGTGTGTACTCAAGGATGGATAATTCTGCCTAGGATGGGGAAGAAAGGTAATCCTGTTTCCCCTGAGATTAGGCAGGGGGAGAGATTAGGGAGGAGCAAGGAGAGAGGAAGAGAAAGAAACATGTTCACTTTAAAGATAAGTCACAGTGGCAGAGCAGCAAGGGCTATATTCAAAGCATAAAGTGGATCATTGTTACAGCCTCAAACTTGTATTCCCCCCAGCATCAGCCTCCCTATTAGCTGGGATTACAAATACATGCCACTGTGCCCAGCAGAACTTCTTAAAGAACTTCTGTAGAGCCAGGCACAGTGGAGCACGCCTGTGATCCCAGCAGCTCAGGAGGCTAAGACAGGAGGATCATGAGTTCAAAGCCAGCCTCAGCAATGGCAAGTTGCTGAGCAACTCAGTGAGACCCTGTCTCTAAATAAAATATAAAATAGGGCTGGGCATGTGTCCCTGAGTTCAATCCCCGGTAAAAAAAAAAAAAAAAAAAAAAAAGGAACTTCTGTAGACACTTCTTTCCTCCTATTATCTCCTTAATTCCTTATCTTTTCACTACCACTTCCCCCCAAACAGTTCTTCTCACCATCTCTGATAAGCCCCACATTGCTTCATCTAATGGCTGCCTTTCAGCCTCTTGGCGGCCCCCTTTGGAGGGCAGGACACTTCATGTTGACATATCTTCCTTCTTTGGTTTCTACGGATCTCATGAACCCAGAATTTTGTGGATTCTCCTGGATCTCAATTCCTAGGTCTCCTCCCACCGTTCCCCATTCTCATGGCAATGAGCTCTTGGGGTATACACTAGGCAGAGATAAGTTCAATTATCAGTTTGCACAGTGTCTCAGGAAATGTGAAGAAACTTGTGTCTGGGTGACCAGTAGATGGGTGAGGCTGGTGGGAGCTGGAGAAAGGGTGGGCGAGTGGTGCAAGGGGAAACCCTGGAGCTGGTGTAGTTCTCTACTCCATCTTGCCCAGCGGCCCTGGGAGCTCGCCGCAGCCAGACTCTGATGTTCATCTCTGGGCTTTCATGGTAACGACTCCTTATTATTATTCTATTTTACAAGGGAAGAAAATAAGAGCAGGGAGCGTATGGGATTTATTAATTTACTTGCTCAGGGTCACATAAGGAGAGGCAGTGTCTCTCCAAGGTTGGCACCCCCACCTACCTCACCTGTGTCTTATAAATGCTCCAGAAAATAAAACTTGGTCTATAACACCTTCCAGCTCTAACCAGAATCAGTCCTCTCTTGAGCAAACCAGGATCAGAACAGGACCAGAATTCAGTCCCAAGAGGTTCTCTCTAGTATTATTCTCTCTCTTTACTGGATACTATGTTTTTTTGTTTGTTTGTTTTTATTTCAGGGAAAAGCGTCTGGAACAAGGAGAGAACTGAGAAGAGACAGGCAAACAAAGGAAACAGATCTCTTTTTGATCTTGTCTACAGAGACTGTTATGAATATGAAAGTCAGGATTTCCCCCAGAATTGTTTGAGAAAGATAGTGATGGTCTATGACCTTTAAAAATACTAAATGCCATAGTAAGATTTTTAGGAGCCCCACAGCCAAAATGTCTAAAGGTGCTTCCCATTTCTTCTCCTTAATGCAACATCCATGACCCATTTTTTTTTTGGGGGGGGGGATGTTACTGGGGATTGAACCCAGAGGTGCTTGGCCACTGAAAAACATTTCCAGTTATGAACTTGGCTCAGGGATTTAGCACCGCCCTTTGGTTTCTTATTTCTTAGGACATTTTAGGTACATTTGTCTCTGTGAGGCTCTATGAGTGAAGACCTCCAAAATTTAAGCTCTAAATTTGTAGAGGTTGATATTAAACTATGATGTCAGTACCTCCAAAGCTTGAATGCAGGCTTTTCTATGTCTTTCTATATCTGCTTTTTTTTTTTTTCTGAGACTCCCCCAGCAGACTTCCCCTCTGATCTCATTAACCAGAATTTTATCTCATGCTTATATATGACCAAGAAGAAAAAGAAAACTGATGCAAATAATAAAATTCCCTGCATGGAGTTATTTTAAGGATTAAAGTCAATATTTATATTTACACGATAGGTGCTTAGTAAGCAGTACCTGTTATAAACCAGTTTCCACTAGGCTGGCCCTTCACCTGAATCACTCCTGTGTAAAAGGAACTCATTAATCACTTTTATCAGTTAGAATGCTTTCAGGCTATAGGAAACAGAAAATCCAGCTGAGAATGGCTAAACAATAAGAAGCATATATCACCGATTTAGCAAGAAATCCAGAGGTAGCTTCAGGGTAACTTAACAATGCAATGCAGTGGAGGCCACATAATTTTCTCTCCCTCTGCTCTACTTCTCGGTCTGTCTACTTTGTCCTCAGAGAGTCTCCTCATAGTTTCAAGAGAGTGGTCACAGCTTTTTTATTTTGTCCCAGGGATTGAACATAGGGACATTTAATCACTGAGCCACATGCTCAGTGTGGCTTTTTATATTTTTATATTTTCATTTTGAGGCAGGGTCTCCTAAATTGTTTAGAGATTCGATAAGTTGCTGAGGCTGACTTTGAACTTGACATCCTTCTGCCTTAGCCTCCTGAAATTACTGGAAATCTTCTGAGAACCCCCCAGCAGGCTTTCCATATGACCTCATTAATCAGAATTATCTCATGTACTTATGTTTGACCAAGATGTATATAATCACTAATTTTTTTGTGTTTGTGTGTGTACCAGGGATTTAACCCAGGGCATTTAACCACTGAGTCAAATTGCCAGTCCTTTTTATTTTTTATTTTGAGACAGCTAAGTTGCTGAGGCTGGTCTTGAACTCTCAATCCTCCTCTCTCAGCTTTCTGAGTCACTGGGATTATAGGCGTATGCCACTGCACCTGGATTTCTAAAAATTATTTTTTAGAAATCAAATTTAATTCCTGTATCAGGAAGGGCAGCATTGGATAGACAATCAACCAACGATCTGCTTCAAGGTTTAGGGACATCCAAAAAAAAAAAAATTTAATGAGCAACTATTCTGTGCTCAGGCTTTGGAGGTACTGACATCATAATTTAATGTCAACCACTGCACATTTAGAACTAAATATTGGAGATCTTGACTCACAGAGAAAAGATTCCCAAAATATCATCTGAAGCAGGGAGCTAAAGGGCAAGGCCAAAATGCCTGGGTCAGGTTCATAAGCATTTATGGCCAGGAAGCAGCAGTCTTGCAAGCAGGGCTTGCCAAAGAGGTGAGGAGCTCCCCATGTTTCAAGCTGGCACTCAGCTCCCAATTATGATTCCAGAATTATTAGCTTTGATTCTGTGAGAAAGGAACACATCAAAGCCAGAATCCTATGAATTAAAACGTTGACTAATCGAGCTAATTATAGTTCAGTCATCTGAATTTTCACACAATGAACAGAGTTCTCATGCAGGTCTTCTCTTGGACACGAGGCTTTGATGATGAAGCAGCTATTTGTGTCCCAGGCTCAGTCCTCCTTGCTGTGGCCAGAGGATCTGCTCTGGAGTACCTTTTGCCCACTCAAACCCCCTATGGATTGGGCCTGGGGTTTCTTGAAAGCTGACATATCTCAGTTAAGGTGAACATTCTCAAGATAATGGGAGCAAGATCCCCTTCCCTGGAGAAATCTCTAACACACGTGTCAGGATGTCAGGATGGGATCCTTCTCATTTCAATTTTATTCCAGATTTTCAAATACTTAGGTAATTTACATAGCCTAATTATACTTTAGGGAGAACCTTCTCAACTTAACATGTCTCAGTTATCAGATGTAGAGTGGTATAATAAATTTTAATCACTGTGTAGATGTTCTTTGCTGCCGAGCTAGTAATATAACTAAGCCTAAATCTTGATGAGCTAGAATAGGTAAATTCTAGGTGGAAGGTAATACTTTCCAGAGAGAATTCATTTATTTTGAGTACCAGTTGGACACCAGGAAAAACGACTAGTTAATGAGTAGTTCTTGACTGGGGAAAATTTTTGCACCCTGCCCCCATCCTGCCAGGATGAGTGTCTGAGACATTAAAAAAAAAAAAAAAAGTTGTTAAATGGACCTTTATTTTATTTATTTTTATGCAATGCTGAAACTTGAACCCAGTGTCTCACGCATGCTAGGCAAGCACTCTACCACTGGGCTACAACCCCAGCCCTGAAGATATTTTGCTTTTCCCAACTGGGAGTGGGGACAGGTACTACTGGCATCTAGTATATAGAGGATAGAGATGCTGCTAAACACCCTGCAATGTATAGTTCAGATCCCTACACATAGAGTTATCTAAACTAAAATGTTGACAGTGCCAAAGTTGTAGGGGAACTGCCCCTGTGTTAAAGAGGAAGTTGTTTTCACTCAGCACTAGCATTTAAGAAGACATCACTGGGCTGGAGACCTAGCTCCAAGTAGAGTACTTGCTTCATGTGCATGTGGCCCTGGGTTCAATCGCCAGTACCATAAAAAAAAAAAAGAATAAAACCAACTTTATATAAGATGGGAGCACCTACCTGCTACCCAAACTACATATTTGTATGACTCCTTACATTTAGTATTTGTAAAAGAGAGCTAGGAATAAAGAAATAGATTGAATATATGACAAATCATAGTCTCAAATCTTATGGAAGATAATGAATTCTGCTTTCTCAATATGCTTGTTTTTCAGGTAACTTGTGCTCACTGGGTGACAATGATATTTGTTTATAGATGACCAGGTTCATCTCAAGCATTCTTCCTGTGTGGACGATTAAAGGAGTAGGTATGTAGAATACCATCTACTCAGAATGTGTCTGTCCCCAAATTACCTCTTCAGTGAAGATGTTTTCATTTCTGTTATAAAAATTCTATAAGGGCTGGAGTTGTGGCTCAGTGGTAGACCACTTGCCTAGCATGTATGAGGCACTGGGTTTGATTCTCAGCACTGCATATAAATAAATGAATAAAATGAAAGTTCATCAATGTCTAAAAAATATATTTTTTTAATTCTATAAGCAACAAGAAGTTTTAAAATCATGCCAGACCTAGGTATGAATTAAGTCATTTTTAAATTAAATTTAATTCATCAAACTGTGCTCAAATCAACCAAAAAAACCTTAGGCTGTATTCTTGGTTCTAATTCCTTCCCTTACTATGCCATGTATTTGGAAATTACAATTAATTTTGCTTTTTCTACACTTTTTTTTTTTTGTACCAGGGATTGAACTCAGGGGTGCTTGACCACTGAGCCACATCCCCAACCCTTTTTTATATTTTATTTAGAGACAGGGCTTGGTGAGTTGCTTAGGGCCTCACTAAGTTGCTGAAGCTGGCTTTGAACTTGCGATCCTCCTGCCTCCCAAACCCCTGGGAGTAAAGGTGTAGGTAATCACACTCAGCTTCAACACATTTTAAGCTGTAAAGACCCTCTGTTCCATCTTATCCATTTGGAGATAGATCATTTAAAAAATATTTTAATGAATATATGCACAGAATTTTTAAAGTCTAATAATAGTATTAAAAGACTAATGAAATTCAATAGCTTCATTCCTCAATCTTTTCCACTCCTTCCCAACTTTCTCTCTCTCTCTCTTTAGCTCTAGAGATCAAACTCAGGGCCTCATGTTAGGCAAGGGAGTCCCCATCCTGTGCTATTCCCTTCTGATCCAACAATTTAACATTACTTTTTTTTTTTTTTTTTTTGGTGGTGCTGGGGATTGAACCTAGGGCCTTGTGCACATGAGGCAAGCACTCTACCAACTGAGCTATATTCCCAGCCCCTTAACTGTATTACTTTCTTATTGTAGTAAATGAGACTTGAGCACTGTTTTCAGCTGCCTCCCCTTTTTCTCTCTCTAATCCTTTCTACATAATTTATAACTTTGGATTAAATCAATATTAGGTGTTTACATGTGAACAAAAAACATTGTAGTGTACTATGATTAAGTTTGTTACTTTTTGTTTGTTCTGAAGTTAATAATTGCTTTTTCTGTCATTAGTAACTACTTTAAATTTCTTCCTTTGCAGTCACCTTTGATCAAAAATCTTGTACTTGTGACCTGATTTCTCTTTGCAGAGGCCAAATTTAGCTGACATTCTGAGATTTTAGCCCTTGAATGTCATCTACCTTTCGATTCACCAAGAGACTCTAGCCCAGAGGTATACAGCACATTTCCCACAATCGGTTTTATTTTCCTAAAATGGGTCATTCTTCAGTCAGAAGCTTCATCTCCATTGAAGCTCTACTCAGGTGAGCTGGTACACACTTGTAATGGTGACTACTTAGGAAACTGAAGGAGAAGGATCATTGGAGCTCAGGAGTTTGGGGGCAGCCTGGGCAACAAAGCAAGACCCTGTTGCTTATAAATCTGTCAATAAATAAATCATATGAATAAAAAATACCTGCACATCTAGTAGAGCATCTCCCCACAAAAGAGCTTCTCTCCTGAAGAGTGCTGTCCTCTCAAAGTGTGAATGGCAGTGTCCTAACTTCTCTGGTTTAGTTCTGGTCTGCCTGCTTTCAGAGAGTGTCTGAACACATCAGCGTACAGGTGATAGTTGGTTTTAGCCTGCCAAGTGTATGTCTATTCCGGTACCTTTTCTTTTTGGTACTAGGGATTGAACCCACTGGGCCACATCCCCAGCCCCCCTTTTTTTTTTTAATTTAGAGACAGGGTCTCGATGAGTTGTGTAAGGCCTCACTAAATTGCTGAGGCTGGCTTTGAACTTGCAATCCTCCTGCCTCAGCCTCCCAAACAGCTGGGATTATCGGCATGTGCCACCATACCTGGCTGTTCCTTTACTTTTTTAAAAAATATATTTTTTAGTTGTAGATGAACACAATTTCTTTATTTATTTTGTTTATTTATTTTTATGTGGTGCTGAGGATCGAACCCAGTGCTTCACAAGTGCAAGGCAAGTGCTCTACCACTGAGCCACAAACGCAGCCCTGTGTAACTTTACTTTTTATTACAGAATTTCTTCCCATCCACAACTGAGCTGCAGAGGAAGCAATCTACCCTATAGAGTCCTGAAGCATCCAGACCCCTCACCCAAATCAGTAGCTTCTACTTCTCACAGAAAGACAGAGGCAGCTGCAGGTGTTGAAACATGGACATAGTACATTCTCCCCAAGTTCAACCCTAACTTTCTGCCTCTGTATCTCTGCTTACTTCTCCTCAACACAGAGCAGTGAGGGTTTTGTATGGACAGACATACCCCACACTCCTAGTTTATAGAATTTATTTTTAGCCAGAACTACATTTAGTAATATATGATCAATTATGCCAGTAATAATAGGAAGAAGAAGAGAAGGTATGTGTGTGGATTCCTCTTCCTAGGGTCGTGTGGTTCAAGTTAATATTTAAAATGGTCTCGAATCCTCTGAGCCCATACTGACTGTCTGATGGGGGAGGTGGTAAGAAGAGGGACAGGTGGCACTGGGAAAACTGACCTAGGATTAAAAATTAATTGTGCTCGATTTTCAAATTAGATCATTGTAAGCAGATGGCTATGAATTTTAATGTGATTTCATATTTAACATTTTTTTGAGGAGACTTAAACTCTATTATTCACCAACTAGGCAATTTATGAACTCACATTTCAGCTTTAATTCTACCTCATCACAGTAGAATTACAGGGCTGGAAAAACTCCACCACTCATCTTCTGTTGGAAAGAACCACACCCAAAGCCAACCAAAGCAACAGGGATCCCTAACACATTTTTTTTAAAGACTTCTAATTTAAGGTATTCCACAGCCAGCCTCCCTTGGGAGCAAATTCTGGTGATCCACTTTTCCATTTGGTCAGCCTCTGCCCTATTTCCTCTTCTCCTGCTCCATGCAGCTGGATAGATGGAGATACCTTCCACTTTCCATCCCAGAGCTTCATCAGCTTCAGCTTAATTCAGACACCAGCACAGGACCCGCCATGCCGTTCCATGAGCGGTGGAGTCAGGCAGGCTAGATGGGGCCAAAGAGGAGGGAGGGTAAACAGGAAGGGTAAACAGGGAGGGCCCTGCCTACCTAGGGTATATAATTTGGGCTGGAAGGAACTAACCCAGGTCCAGATGCTGGCCCCACAGGGGTGCTGGGTCTTGAATCCTAGTAGTGATGTGAGGTGCTCTATTTGGATGGTGGTGTGTAGCAGGGAGAGATTCTAGGCAGCAGCAATACTGCAGGAATGAGATCCAGCAGAATTGTGGTTCAGGAAGAGCTGAACATGCACAAAATGTATCTGCAAGTGGATGAGGGCATGGAAAAGAGGATTTTTTTTTTTTTTTAAAGAGAAGAAACTGGCAAGAGCAAGACAAAGTATCAGGGCCCTGAATTAGTAAGCTGGGAGCTGGAATAGCCCTTGAGTTGGGCAGGGAAAATGGGCCCCCTCCTAGAGGTGTCATGACCCTGCTTGTCCCTTCCTATCTCCTCCATGTCACTGTCCAGTCATATCAACCTTCTTGCAGCTCCCATCCTGCAACCTACTCCTTTGAACATGTCTCACATGTTGGAAGTCAGTGGCTTGATGACTTCCATTTCTGGATCTCTAGATGTCCAGATGCCTACCAGCCTCCTCCATTCGTATGTCCAAAGAAACTCGCTAGTTCTCCTAACCTGGCCCCTGCCTCCTTTTCCTCTCCTACGTTTTCTCCTTCTCCTTTCCTTTTCAGTACTGGGGATTGGACGGAGGGAGGCTCTACCACTCAGTTCCATCTCCTGCCCTTTTTAAAAAATTTTTTTTTTATATTTTGAGATGGGGGGGGGGTCTCACTAAGTGGCTGAGGCTGGCCTCGAACTTGTGAACCACCTGCCTCAACTTCCCAACTAGCTGAGATTATATGTGTGTACCACTATACCTGGCTTATTCCTATGTTTTGTTTGTTTTTGTTTTTAATCTCAAAGAAGGGAGTCATTCCTGGCTCTTCCTTCTGTTTGTTCTTCCATCAACCTGCTATTGCCCTGAATATTCTGCCTTCCTTAAAAAAATTGATAAAAAAAGAAAGAAAATTTAAAAATGGAGCAAAAAGAGATAAAATACTACATCAAAATCACTTTCTAATTTAGAATGCATTTTGGTTTTTTTTTTTTCATTGTTTGTATTAATGACACTGATGTAACTGTGTCTAATGGGTTGAAAATGTATCTGTATGTGGAAAAAACAAACTTTATAAATCATAATGAAGTAAAAAAAAAAAAAAAAAAAAACATCCTGCCTTCTTTGCATTTTCATTACTAGTGTCTTAGTTTGGGTCCCCACTACCTGTTACCAGAATTTGTGTTCTTAACTCTGCTCCCTCCCTCCAAGCATGTGTATCCTTTGCCAATCACTCCACCTCCGTACAACTTTGACTTGATCTCTCTTCTGCTTAACTCTTTACTGGTGCCCATTATCCCCAGCAAAAAGTGTAAAACTTATTGGTATGACCTAAATAAAAGCTCCCAATCTGTCCCTCCTGCCTATTCACCTTCACCTCTTGCCCCTTCCCATCTCCTCCAGTTCACTGTGCAGCCATATTAAATTTCATGCAGGACCCTGAAGATGAAGTCTTATTTTCTTTGCACAGGGGGTTCTCATCTTCATCTGAGTAACTTCTACTTACGTTGTGGGACACAGTTGAAAGTTTCTTTCTTCCAGGACTCCTTTCCTGGATAGGGTCCCCTCCTAGCTGCTTCCCAGCCTCTGAGCCTAGCTTTGACCTCATGCTTGTCTCCTGTGTGTGTCTTCCTGCCTAGAATGTCAACAATTTGAGCCAGAGACCACATCTTTTTACTGAGGAACAGCTCTGCTAAGGGGAGATCATGGGATTTGGAAATGTGTGTTTGGAAATCAAACTTCAAGTAAAATACCTGGGCAAGATTCTCATCTCAGGATGTCTGTCTAATAACCTGTAAAATAGTAATGCTTCCTTCTTAAGCTATTAAGATAATAACACAAAGCACTTACACTGAACCTGACACTTTCTAGATGCCCAATTTCGTTGAATGAAGAAAATGCAGGAAGAGAAGCTCCAAATAGGCTTATGGGCTTGTTGTGGTCAGTCATGAGAGAGGCCTAAGTGGGTCACCACTGCCTCAGCCGGCAAGGGAGGGAGCCAGCAGAGCTGGGTGGAGTTAAGTTCAGATTCTTGGTCTAGAGAAAAAGTGCTGACTCTGAGCAGGAGCTATGCAGCCACCAGGGCTAATGAAGGGCAAGAGAGGAAGACTGAACATGAATGCAGGAGGTCTCAGTGAGACCTCATGGCAACACTGGCTGTGACAGGCCCTTCCTGAAGGCTCCCTCCCTGGGACAGGGCAGGCTTGCCAAGTGCTGTAAATGGGTATTGGGGCGTCAGGAGCTTTGGAAATACCCTTGCCTGGTACCCATCTACAGAGACTTGGTTCCAGGGATTCTTATGTAGACCCCAGACTGGGCCTTTTGACAAACTCCTCAGAGAATTCTGATTCAGTAAAGGTGGAGACTCACTGTCACCACTCCAGAGTGAAGGCAGACAGGTACAGATGTGGGGAGGAGGTCAGACACCTGGCAGGTCACGTGAGTACAGGATGAGAACACCTAGACCAATAATCCAAAATCTGAAATGCTCCAAAATCTGGAACATGTTAAATGTTGACACGACGCCATAGTGGAAAATTCCACACCTGACCTCATGTGACAGGTCACAGTCAGAACACAAGTTCACTAAAAATATTTAAAACTACCTGTGTGTATCAGGTATATGTGAAGCACCAGTTAATTGTGTGTTTAGACTTGGATTCCATCCCCAAGATATCTCATTGTGTATGTACAAATATTACAAAATCCAGAAAAAAAAATCTGGAATTTGAAACACTTCCTGTCCAAGAATTGTTGATTAGGGATACCCACTCTGTACTGGGCATGGCCTCAGACCCCCAGTCTGTTCTGGCTGAGCATAATTGAGGGGATGGTTGGTGGGGAGTGGTTGTACTCACTTTCGTGCTCTAGTGAGGACTTGCTTAGCATGGGGCAGGCCCATCCACAGATCTAGTGGCAGGGAGCAAGGAAAGATGGGGGAAAAAAAATGAGGCTGCAGTGGACACATATACTTCCTGATCTCAAATTCCCAGCCCCTTCCTGGAGGAGACCAGCTACTTCTTAGGAGGTGGTGGGATAGAAGGACATTTTTCCTTTCTTCACGTCCACTCCAATGGCAGAGGGGAACACAAGAGAGGAGATGCTTTTTCTGTTCCTGGGAGCAAATCAGAGATAGCAATTTAGAGCCCCAGATCATTCTAA